GCCGCAGCCACGCTTGGGTTTTGCAGTGGGCAGGATTTACAGCCGACGATGCATCTTGTTAAGCAGGGCAGGAGGGAGCCGATTCCCAATGCGGACTCTTTTTATGTATCTTTTTACTCTGCGATTTCTTTTAGGATGTGAATAAAAATGGGTTCAGGTGACAGCGGTGAGTTTATGCAGCAGCATCTGGCACCAGGATTTCTGATGGCTGCTCGGGGGGTGCTTAGCAGTGACACGCTGGCTTAAAGGAGCACCACTGAGTGGCTTTGATTCAGTTCCTGTTGAATTTCACAATACTTCCCTAATGCCACATTAAGCGTGAGGTGGGGAGGGCTCCCATTTGTCAGCGTGAGAGCTTTATTGCCGTACAGTGCCGGGCTTTTTTTTGTAATCTTATTTGTGCGTGTGAAAGTAAGTGAGCATCATACTTGGTGATTAAACGTGGGGAAGCGGCAGTCTTTGGGGAGTAAAGCTGGGTAAATAGAGGGCTTAGCGCTGCCGGGGAGCCTGGGCTGCTCTTTGCCTCCTGGTCCCTGCTCTGGCCCCCTCTGCCCCGGAGATGCCCCCCGTGAGCCGGTGGGGCCGTGGGTCCCTGCTGCGGTTTCACGCCGTGGACTCTGCAGGCTCTTTCCCCTCCATGGGGGGGGGGACGCCCTCCTGTGTGGACACTGCAGGGAGCCCAGGGGTCGGTGTGAGCCCACGGGGGGTGAGGCCAGAGCCCTGTCCCGCTCAGCAGAGCCTGTCCAGGGCCGCCGGCACCGCCCAGCGCCGCAGCAGCTCGCGCCGTGCGCGTGGCAGGGAAACGTTTACGTGCAAATAGAAATCTATTTTTGATGAATGTCATTTTGAAACTCTTTAGAACGTCTGTATATTTTGGTTTTTTTTAGCTGATTTTTTGGAGATTTTTTAAAATTACTTGGCCAGCCTTTGTCCTCGGGCAGCTCAATCCTCTGCTCGGGTCGGCGGGGATGGATCGGAACGCGTGTTTCCCGTCCCCTGTTGGATTGCACCAGTCCCTGTCTGCAGGGATTTTGCTTTTGGTCTCCTGGCTATGGGTGGGGGACGTGGCAGTCCTCCCAGGCCGGGGTGCTGGAGGGGCCCCCGTGGTGGCTCTCTGCAGCACTGGGGGGGCTGCTGCCCTGCGGGGGCCCTGCCCAGAGCCACTGACTCCGCTCTGTGTGTGGGGAGAATCGTGTGTTAGTGCGGAGAAACGACGGTTTTCTGAGCAATAACTTGTTCTGAAACATGTTCCTTTTGCCTCTTAAACCCGCGATAGCGGCTGTATCTGGTTTTGTACACAAATTAAATCCACATGAGCCTGTTTTGTACGATGGTGATGTTTGTAGCTGTTTTGTTTTTCTTTTCTTGCTGTAACCCCAGATATCCAGCTTGTACTTACCTTTCCCATCTTCCCCTTGCTTGTCCCTGGGCTGTTTCACATTTTGTCTTGTCAAGGTCGTTTCTGGCAATTTCTGAGACCACTTCAGCTCACTGTGGCTTTATTACCATTATTCTATTAAGTATCTGGCCAGGGTAGCAAATGCAGGGGCAGATAAAGCTGGAAAACAAAACTCCAGAAGCAATTCCTCACGGGGCTTTTCACGGGCTCGTGTCCTGCCCTCCCCATAAACCTGTCATCCAGGCGCGGTACAGGGGTTGTTTCAGGCTCTGTCAAGGCTGGGGGACGGGCTCTGTGGGGAACGGCCCGAGGCCGGCTCGGCCGGGCGCCTGGGGGGGCTGCCCACGAGCGGGTGGGGGTGCTCGGGGGGCTGCCGGGGAAGGGGCTTCGCTCCGGAGCTGCTCCCCAAGCAGCCCGGGTGGGTGACAGTCGGGTAATGCTGCAGCTCGGCTCTTGCTCCGATTTCTCTCTTTATTTGGGGGCAGCTGGGAGTTTTCCCCTCGGGTGGGGGTTCAGGCGCCGCTGCTGCGGCTGTGCGGTTGCTGGAGTCCTGCCGGCAGGTCCCCTGCGTGACCCCTCGCCAGAAATCAGGGAGCGTTGGTGGTGGGCTCTTCCCTTCCCAGGGCTTGTTTCCTTCCCAGCCGTGCACCTTCGCCCCTTCGGGATTTTCCCTTTAAGGTCGTCTCTCGTGGAAGCCTCGGCGGGTCCTGGCTCTCTGGGCACAGCAGCGGAGGCTGCCTCTGTCCCCGTGGGGCATTCGCCACGTGGCTCCTGGCTGGGGGCTCGGACGATGGGGACAGGGGACAGTCAACGCCCGCCCCTGTATTTCCAGCTTTGACGCTTCTGCACAGCGCGTCGCTTGCTGGTCCGGGTGGAGGGGGCTGTGGGGACGCTGGGGATCACGATGGGACTTGAGCTACCGGTACCACAGAAGCCAAGAGTGGCCGGAGGACGCGTGGGGCACGTGGAGACGCTGCCGTGCCCGGCTGTGGGCTGCCTGCGGAGCAGGGCCGGGGGCAAGGACTGTGCTGGACGTGCTGGGGAGAGGAAAAGGCTGAGGCTGACGAGGCACAGGAAGAGCAGCACGTGGATCGAGGCTGACGGCTGGAGACGTCCTTCAGGACAAACCACGAACCACCACCAAGCCTCGCCTGGCTCCAGTCCCTGCGCCCGCTCCGCGCCCTGGCCCGCCGGAGAGCCGCGATGAGTGAAAACTCCGAGCGGGGGATCGGTGTGTCCTGCCCAGCTCGGTGCTTTCGGGGTCCCCTACCCCGCTCCCGAGGCGGCCGCAGGGAATCCGCCGTCCTGCCTGTGCGGAGGCTTTGCTGAGGAGCGGTCCCGCACGGAGGAGCTCTGCCCCGGCGCGGACGCACGCGGAGAAGGGGATTTGCTTTTCCTAGAACCCAGCGCCGCGCGCGTTGGAGGAACTTGGCGATTAGAGGAGCAGCAGGACGGCGCGACGGCGTCGCCAAGGCGAGCGTGAGCCATAAGCTCATTAAGGGGCTTGGCCTCTGCCTGCCCAGGTTGGGACGCTGCAGTCCCCGGTGACCGGGACACTGCGGCGCGGCGCTGGCGGGGCTCTGCCTCCCCCGGACGCCCCAACCATGCTGGCGACCCTGATGACAGCGCTGTTCTTCGCGGTGAGAGCATTGGGGCAGGTGAGTCTGGGCGGGCCTGGCCCCAGCTCGGCGTTGCCGCTCGCCGCTGGGTGCCTGGAAGCGCGTGGGGCTGCGGGAGCGGCCGGCGGAGGGGACCGTGGGCTGGGGACACCCCTGCTCGGGCCCAGCCACCCGCATCCCTCCCTCTCACTGCCGCCAACACTCTCTGTGTCCAGCTGGGGAGCCGCCTGTGCCCCGAGGAGCCGCTGCCGTACCTCGTGTACCAGCCCCTGCCCTGGCAGATCCAGTGTGTGTCGCAGAGCCGCCGCACCAGCCGCGACAGCGAGGTAGGGCTGGGGCTTGGCTGCCCCCCGCGAGCCAAACGGGCTGGGGCCGGCGGGGAGACTTCTCTCTTTCCCTTGAGAGACGGAAAATAGAGTAATGCCAGGAGGCAGGATAAGCTAAAAAATGTATGAACTTGTCAACAAATTCGAGGTTATTTTTCGGGATAAAAATCGCAGACCTGCCATCCCCGGTGCGGCAGGACCACGGTGGGGCTGGAGTGGAGGAACCGAGCCCGGCGGGTCTGGTTCCGCGTGGGAGGTCTGTGCCGAGGGACTTCCCCGGGTGCCACCGGCACGTCTCTTGGAGCTCGTTTTTGATACAAAGCTCTCGTCTGCTTCTCCTCGGAGGACGGTTCACAGATGTCAATGAGTTCGTGGGTGCTCTGTAGTGCCCTTTGAGGGGACGGCAGTATTCTGAGGTTTCCTGAAGGGAAGGGGCAGTGGCAGCTTGCCGAGGCCAGCCCAGCCTGTTCTTCCCACCTCGGCCTGAGATACAACTAACTCTGTTGTATTTTTCTCTACCTTTCTAGAAAGGCAGGAGCTCTCGGCAGAACAGCATCTACTCCATTTCTGGAGAGAAAGGTGAGTATGGAGTAGGGGAAGCTCCTGACTGTGACCGTGGGGTGCAGTGGGAGAGGCACTGCAGTACCCAGACCCCTCTTGGCCTCTTTCTTCTTCCAAAAAAACCTCTCTGACAGCATTAAGGGGTATTTTAGAAGTCAGCCTTGGGAGAGGGAAGCCTGCTCAGCTTGCTCTCCAGCCTGCTGGCTGTACTGTGTTTCGGGTTGTTTCCCCTCGGGGGGGGGGGGGGCCCTTGTTG